TTTTCTTCAATTTTCACGTATCACAAGCACATTATTTCTAAATAACGCTCATCACCATGATACTCTCGCGGACGTTTATCATTTGCCTTTTTATCCGGTATCCCCGAACGAATCAATGATAGAACGAGAAAACAGCAGCATCAGCAATGACTAGTGATTCATTCGGCGCATCTCCATAGCCGCGATGTCGTCCACGGATATGAGCTTCTCTATGGGGATGCAGGAGAGCTCACCACCCACGCAAGACTGGGGCTGCTGCCATCGGGCCTCCCTCTCGGCCTCTTTCGCTTTCACCTCTGCCTCGCGTGCCCTTCGTTCCTGAGCGAGTAAAATGAAATTATTTGTTACCCACGAGGAAACACATGGTGACCAGAGCTGCCCAAAACTAAGGGGGTGCACACAACAGTGTCAAAGGGACCGTTGCTTTATTCTGGGTCCTTCGGCTAAAGTTAAGGAGTACTCAACGGAATTTTGGACTATGTGACATTGCTTCCTCAAAAAGATATTTCATTGCTTCAAGCACTTTTGAAGTTGTCAAATGACTAAAAAAGCGTTTGAAGACACGAAAAGATCTTCAAGTCTCTGTAAGGTCAATAAGATGTGAAAGTCTCTAAAAGACTGGGAAAGTTGTTTGGAAGCCTTTGAAGGACTTTAAGTCAACTAGAAATATTTAAGACGTGTAATAACTTTAATCTTTAAAAACCGTAAGAACTCAAATAAGTGAGGACTTTTTCGATATATATAAGGTCCATATCGGTCTATCTATATACACATGATATGTAGAATTTATAGAAATGATTATACATATCATCTATATGAGTCCAGTTACAATTCAGACCCTTAATTTATATTTTTTAGTCGATTCCGAATCAAGATCTTTTGCTTTTCATTCCGATCAAAGCATTTTTGTAATCTGAAGTTATTTTCTCGATTTATTTCTTTATCTGCATGAATTGGAATTACTTATCTGGTTTGATGCTAAAATTTAATCGGGTGCATAGTGAATTGGATTAATGTAATTCCGATACATCTGTAACCCGATTGATCAAAAAATCATCAATACTAATTATAATGTGGATTGCCATTTCTTCGCATTTCTTGTTATACACCGATATACGAGGAAAATTTTAAAATCTATATCCCAATATTTGGATCATCATTTCCTTATCTCATTTGTGAATGATGACCCACTTTTTAATCTCGATCCTCTTTTTTGGATCCAAAAATGGAACAAATTAAATCACGATGCAAAATATTCGACGATATGGAGTTTAACACTCAATTTTGATCCAGTGAATCGAAGTATCAATTTATGAATCCGAAGAAACAAATACAGATTGAAATTCTTTTTAATCGTAGTACAACCACTCATTGTCCATTCCAATAATTTAGGAATATGTACAATATGAGTATTGTATAAAAAAAAAAAAAAAAAAAAAAAAAAAAAAAAAAAAAAAAAAAAAAAAAAANGATTTTGTATTCGGAAGTATCAATAAATGTAAGTGACAAAATGAGAGTAATTTTAGGATAAAATTCATGGTAAACCATAGAAGAATCTGTTGGAAAACAGTATGGATTACATAGTTATTTTGTATAAAAACTACATTGATATAATATTCATATTTACAGTAGAAACCTGTCATGATGAAAATAACGACGGTACATCATATCTCAGTGGTATAAGCTTCGAAAACGAGATCCTCAAGCCTCCATCACGTACGAGCAAATCGAAAATCTCGAGCAATCCTTCACGATTCTACGGCTTGTGCCACGGGATATTGAATAATACAGTATGAAAAAGGAGCAAACGTGATTTGGGCAGATGATGCTCGGTCAATCTTCGGAGGGATGGATACGATGTAGAAAAACGGAGAGGCTCAAGGAAAATATTGGACCTGCACTTTTTCATCCTACGATTCAAGTTTTTGTTTTGGGACGAGACTCGGCTTGGTTAATATTTTTCTATCCTTGATACTTTGGACAATCAAATTTATTAATTTTTTCGGCAGAAGCAAGTAAATTCGTACAATTGATCCTTCGCATGATACAAATAACGAGTTTTAATCGAAGCTAAAATAGTGTCGTCATCGCGTGAAGTGATGAGGTGTAACGCGTTATAATGTGACGACACATCGTTCAACACTCATATGCCGATCGTGACAAAGATATAAACATCGTTTGACCTAAAAAAATATGAAGACCTTCATCACTGCGTCAATCATGAAAATTAAATATTTTTTCAATAAATAGATATTGAGACGCTCGAAAAAAGAACTTGATTATACGCAGATCCAATTATCATTTGAAAATGAAGGTAAGACATGACTAGCCTTGTATATCATCCGATCACTCGAGCTCCCATTACTGGTGCCAACTTTTAAGTACCGTCCATTAATTTATATCAAAACGTAGCTTGAATTGCCAATTTTTCCATGGAGAAAATACAGCAGATTTTGAAATCAAGATGAACAAGTAGTTTTTTTTTAAATAACAAAATGATCAGTCACAGCTCACTTGTAATTTTATTCTGTAAATAATCTCATTACACCCGCAATTTAGAGAGTAGCAACCACGATGCGACATCGTCAAGAAAATTCCAAAAACCTTTGATTACAGCCACGGCGTCACAATGTCAGTTATTGGAACTTACCGAAGAAGATCGTTTTCGGAGGATGCGACAAAGTCCTTGGAGACGATGCAGTCGGTCGACCTGTGCAGGGCCATCTCGTCCCCACTGTTGCTCCCACCACCGACCCCACTGATCTCAGAGTCGCTGGATTTTCTGCCTCCGGTTTCGAGGCCGAGGCGCCTCACCCAGTCGATGCCGCCGTGAGGACCGATCGTCAAGTGGTGGCTGTAGTCCCCGCTGCCCGACGATTCTTGCTCGCTCGTTATCCAGTCCCTCGATTTACGGGCTGGTGACGAATAAGAGTGCGTTTTCACTTTATCAAATGTACATTGTGGGATGTAATTGCATTTTGTTTGCTTCATTCAATTCTCCTATCATAAAATGACAAAATAATTCATACTTTTTCAAAGTTTACTACCGCAACCTTTTGACCTTATGTAGTTAATAAACCGGCACTCAATCTAAACAAGTAAAGTGGTTATGTGTTTGGTATTCATCGATAGGCAGGACAGAAACGTAATTGATCATCTTTCGTTTACCGTGAGAAAAATTTTTTTTTTTAATTAACACCGTAAACTGATGTCGTTTTGTCATTTAGATACTTTTTTAATTGCTATTATGATCATTTTTCGCTTCGGTAATGTTTTTATTCACAGAAGAATGTAAAAAACAAAATAGTAAAAACAATGTCTTGAATAAATTTGGGACGATATCTTGATATTTACATGAGCTGAAGTAAAAATAATTGAAATATTAAAACAATTTTTTTCCATCGGCACACTATTAATATTATAACTATCCTATTATTCAATAATATGAATCAGTGACTGTATCAATAAGTGCATAGTTTTTGCAAATAGAAAATGGTAAGAATCATCAAGAGAATTTTCTTTTTAATTGCTGAAAGCTAGTGGTAATTTATTGTACGGTATAAATTACAGTTACCGACAGTTGAAATAATTTTTTTCTCTTAGCTTGGGTAAGACACAGTATGTACACTACCACGGAAATAAAATACAAAAAAAACTCGAGCAAACGGTTTCATAAAACCTGGAAAATTTTTTTTTTGAAAAAAAGCACCAAAGCCCTATTTGATTTAGGAGAGTAACGCGATAAAATCTTACACTTGTCACCACCAGGTATGCTGCCCCTCGGCAGAGCACTGATCTCCCCCGAGTCGACGAGGAAGGGGCTGCTGTGATCGCTGCTGTGGCTTCCCGTGCTCCCCGGCGTATCCGGCTGGACCGAGGGCGACTCCGTTATTCTGGGCACCTGGTGCAACGACGCAACGGCTCCGCTGGGCGTTCCTGGGACACTGGGTGTCTGGGCGCTCGAGGAGGGCACTGTCGGGGTCGCGGGTCGACTCGCTCGGTAGTTGCTGGAGCGCGCGTTGGCCAATTCCTCGGCGCAGCGCTGCTGCAGCTGCTTGAGCTCCTCTTCGCTGCTCGACGCACCGTCTGCTGGACTCACCACGAATCTCCCTGAGTATACGAGTGAGAGTAGAGTAGACGAGGGTCGGGAGGGCCGAGATGGAGCGCCGATTACGGAAGGACTTGGTTTTTTTTTCATGTCTTGGATCGTCTTTTTTCTTTTACTCTCGTGAGTTGTTGCGTTTGCGTGATTGTATGCAAGATGGCGATGAATTTCGTTATGAGCGTTCGTTCGGTAGCGTATGTCCAATGGCTTTTGACATGTTTTTTTGGTTTTGTCTTACTTAGTCATTGGTGGTTTGAATAATCGTTTTCAATGAATGTGGTATTAAGGATTGTGTGATTATGATTTTGGAGATTGCCAGCTCGTAATTATTCTTACAAAATAGTCGGAACTGTTTACTTTTACAGATGTAAAGTGAAAAACTTTAATAAAAATAAAAACGTTTGCTGATATATTAGTTTAAGATTGTGAAAGTTAATTAATCATAAATAACGGTAGAGAAAATTTGTAAATTTTCGATAAACTACTTGCCTTAAAAATTATAAATAATATTCTAATGTACTCATTCAAAATTACCAAATTATTTACCAAGGACAGACTTTCGTTGTTTCAGTAAATCCATGCAATTACTTTTGTTTCTACACAGAAATACTATGATTGTTAAAATCTTACTATATTAATAGATTGCTTGAAAGGTTTACACAGATATTAATTTTATAAAGTCATAATAGTACAAAACTACGAAGAATCCACTATTTTTACCACAAGGCTAATTAAAATTTTTTATCTACAGTTACATCAGTGCAATTGTTTCATCAACACTACAAAAATTTTATAGTTACCACTGCTATTATTTTGATTCATACTATAACTACACATCATACGAACAAAATGGACTAATAAGAATTACAGTTATCAAGAAAATTAATACAATACTTGATTTGACATTTTATAGATTTTCGAAATAAATATTTTTAATTTTAAGCAGACTTACTGATTCAATTAACATTTCTTCTCTATCGTGATAAAAGAAATATTTAAAATAATAATGAATGTTTTTAACAAAAACATTTGCTTAATGATTCAAATATTTTTCTCATACTTCAAAGTAAAAAAAAAAAGTTTGTACAAAAAAAATGAAATCATAAAAGAAATGTTAAAAAAAATTGTATAGCAACAGGTTTACAAAAGCACAATGAGAACATGAAGTGTACTCGCGATAAAAAAAAAAAAAAAAAAAAAAAAAAAAAAAAAAAAAAAAAAAAAAAAAAAAAAAAAAAA